TTCCATTTGCAATTAATTTAATGTTTATGATAAGTAGCATTTTATTCAATGATTACTTATGTGGTGTTCATACCTCTTTTCAACCTCAAGCATGGTAGTTTAATTACTGTTCACGTTAATTTTAATGTTAATTAAGATGAAGTTTTTAATTTTGCAGCATTTTAATTTCCAAATCTGCCAATACATAGCATTTTAATTTAAAAATGAACATGTTTAGTTTAATTTGGGTACAGCTTTTCCTCGCAAATTTACTTTAAATTGCAGGTTATTTAGTTCAATTAGGATTTGTTAATTTTAAGTCATGGTAGTGTTTAAGTCCTTGGAGTTGTCCAAGGTAGATTTTGTAACCCATTCTGCAGGAAGGTATCCCTCCTTCTTGCAAATCGTCTGAAGGCACAAATTTCATTTTAATCCAACGTTCTTCTCGCCATCTACAAAGAGGTCAACCGTGAGGAAGGAGAGAGTCGTTGGGAAAGTCCTCCTTTCTTACTTTCAGCAAAGTAAGTGACACCCTCGCATCTAGATTTCATACGTGCGAGGCCATTAGAGGATTTTTGGGAAAACAATCCTTTTTTGGCACGCCCGGTGGGACCTCATCGTGTCTTACTTCTAGTTTTCAGATCCATTGTTCTTTTTTTCAAGAAAAGGTGCAATTATGCCACCAAAAAGAAACGTTGGGAAGGCTGCCCAGACTTTACAGATTGGGCTTGGTGAAGGCAGTCCAGCACACTTAGAAGGAGAGAATGAGCCACTCATTCCACCACCATTGTCATCAATACTTGGGGAGCACTCTTTTGTCAATCCAACCTTTAACAAGGATAGTGAATTTGGAGATGATGTTGCTCAATCTGGTGACTCCTTTATGAAAGCTGTGTCAGAACAGATTAGCATCATGAGGCGCACACAGTTGGAATCTAAGGCAAGAGCTCAACAAAGAAGCCAAGAGGTTGCTAGACAGTTGGATGAGTCTTTTCAGAATCTGGCTCAGAATTTGGCTCAAAGTGTAGCCGACATGCGGCGCTCCAATGAAGAAAGTGCTAGAATCTGGAACGAACAAAATGCAAAAAATCGGAGAGCTTTCCAAGCTAAAACAGAACGAATGCAAGAGGCATTTCGACGTGCCAGAATTGAACCTCAACCACAAGCAATAGATCTTCAAAGGCAGAATCAGAATATTCCAGCTCCAGCACTCGAGAGGCAAGTTAATCTGCCACAGCCACCTCCTGAGATTCAGTAAGCAGCAGGCGGACCAGTGTAGCTAGATCCTGTAAAGGCTGCACCATGTGCAGCAGAACTGGGCAATCAACCAGCAGCCCAGATATCTACCACCTCCACACCGACCAAATGGAGGACACCCATAACCCAATGCACCTCCACTAAGGGAGCATTTTCAGCCTTATGTGCCACCCATGCAACAGAATCTTCAAGGTCTGCCACGGCAGTACATTAATCGTGATTAGATCATCAATATAGTGCAGGAGGCTTATGGTCTAGTTTTAAGGCCTCTAGTCAGACCAGCTTACAAAAAACCATATCCAGATTTTATAGACCAAGAGAATCCTTTTCCAAGGGGGTTCAAGGTTCCAGAATTCACTTTATTTTCTGGAGATGGTGGATATTCTACAACTGAACATATAGGCCGCTTCACAATTCAGTGTGGCGAGGCCTCTGGTGATGATAATATGAAGCTCAGACTTTTTCCCAGCTCATTAACTAGTACAGCTCTCACTTGGTATCTAAGTCTGCCACAGAATTCTGTTTATACTTGGAGGCAGATGGAAGATCTTTTTCATATCCAGTTCTACCGCAGTGAGCCAGAAGTGTCCATGGCAGATTTATCTTGTCTGGTGCAGCGACCTAGAGAAACAACTGAAGCCTTTCTTGCCAGATTTCAGAAGGCCAGACTTAAATGTAGAGTTGCCCCGCCAGAACAAGAATTTGTCAAGTTGGCACAAAATGGTCTAGACATTGAGTTAAGGAAAACGTTTGAGGGAATGGAGTTTCGTAATTTCTTTGAGTTGTCTTACAAGGTGGCTTGTTATGAAAATTTATTACGAGAGAACACACAGAGGAAATCTGCATCTCATGGGACTTATTATGGTGATGCTAACTTTGATTAGGACGTGGCAGAGGTGATGGTAGACAAGCCAGTTGTTTGCCCAGATCTGATTAAAGTGGCCCAGCAGACCGACAAACAGTAAAACATTATGTTAGAGAGGTTGGAAAACAATACACCTTCGACATTTCAAAGACTAATGAAATCTTTAACCACCTTAAAAAGAGTGGTCTAATTAAGTTGCCACCGGGGCATAAAATCCCAATGGCTGGCGAAATTGGAAATAGAGAATATTGCAAATATTATAATTCTTGGAAAAATTCTACTAATGATTGTGTGATTTTTTGGAATGTTTTACAGGATAGAATCGACAAGGGGATTCTGTGTTTTCCAGATAAGGCCAAAGAAACTATGGGAGTTGATGCAGATCCATTCCCTACCTTGTCTGTTGGGGTTAATGCAGCAAATCTCAAGAGCATTGCCAGAGACAGAACTCAGTCATACTCTAGGCGCAGACTTGTAGCTGATGATTTGAGGTGGGAGGCAAGGGCCCACAGAAATCAGGTCAGATCAGGCCCATACCGAAGGAGACAGCCCATGGGGCATAACCTAACTCAATAGAAAAATAATGCAAATAAGGGAATTGCGATATCTGGATGCGCAGAAAAGCCTAGAATGGTGAAACCACCACTCAGATCTCCAACCAAACGATGGGAACATGTGGTGCATCCAAAATTTCCTAAGGGTCAGAATCTAATGACCTTGAGGAGGCATTTACAACGTAAAAGGGTAGCAGAAAGACACCAACAGCAGATTATAGACTCGGGGGGCATGGCAGATCAGGCTCAGCTGCTCCCAGCAACAAGAAAATCAATGTGGGTTCGTAAAGAAAAAGGGAGCACATCTGGTCAGAATTCTCCAGAAAAGGAGGAACCACCCAGAAGTCCAATGTCACCTCGAGTTCTGGTTGTGGAATCAAATGAAGAAATCGGATTGAAGGTGAAATTTGACATGTCAGATAAAGCGAAAAATTCATTAGATGTAATCTATTTGGTTAAATGCTAAATTTGGTCCTTCAACTTTAGTGAGTTGCACATTTTTGGTCCCTTAACAATTTTTTGCACTTTTTTGATCCCTCAACTATACGAAATGCACTCCGTTAGCCATTTTATTAATTTCGATCGTTAACTCGCTTATGTGGCATTTTTTATAATTTTTTTGATGACGTGGCAAAAACAAATTGAAAACATGTTAGACGTGGAATTTTTTTTATGCCAACTCACATTATTACTATTTATATTTTTAAAAAATAAAAGAAAATAAGTCGTTCATCTTCTTCCTTTCTCTTTTTCTTTTTTTTTTCTTCCTCTTCTTTCTTCTTCTTCTTCCTCTTCTTCCTCGGGTTATTGAACCCTCTGCTGGGTTCCACTGAACCCAGAACCCAGCTCCACTTTTTTTTTTTTTTTGTTTATATGATTGTTTGCCAAAAGATTATCCAAATTGCAGGTTATTGTGAGTAATTTTTGAACAATTGAGTTCATTGAATTGAGCTGGGTTCGATGGAACCTATTTGTTGGATTACATCGAACCCAGATTTGCCGGATTCCGT